AACATCAGCAAGACAAACTTCTTTTTTTTGGTTTCGTCTTGTCTATGTTTAAGATGTAAATAATCATCAGTTTTTTTTGTTAAGATATGAATCGTTTGTAATTTCTTATTCAATTTAAAGAAATACAATTGGAATATGATTATTGTACATTATCAAGGATATTATTACATGATCATTATTTATTGTATTCATATCGATAATATTTGAAATTTATTGATTGTATTTTTTTCATTGTTAGATATTTAGTTTTAGAAGAAATTTTCATACGTGAACTTCTGATTATTGAATTAGTCCTTCGTATTTTCTTTTCTTTTTTTAGTTTATTAAGATACACTTTCATCAGCTTTTGTCTTTGTTATTTCTTTCTACTGTATGAACCAGAAAAATATCACCCATAAACGCTGATTATTTATCGATAAAATAATGAAAAAGAAAAATATTTTGTTTACCATTCTATATATAAAGTTATATTTCAGACTCAACTATCTATAATCAAGTACAGTGATGCACTTAAATAACCTTTCGTTCGAATAGACACGATCATAAAATATATGAAACAGAAAAAAAAAACCAGTCATTCATAATATAAATAATGTCTATCATGTCAATTCGAGGGAAAGAATATTCTTATACAGAAATCGAGTCAATACAGATAATAACATAACTAAGTATAAATTATTTTATAAAAAACAAATCAAGCATTTTGTACTTAATGGAATTTTCATATAAATTTGAAGCTTGTCGTGTTCTAATCGCATTTTTATGCGATAGCCTTTGAATCTAATATTGTTTTATTTCAGACAAATATTTTAATTATTATTACTATGTAAACCAGAGTTTCGTGTTTAAGTACGGACAACAACGTCGATTAGAATTCCAGTGAAAGAGTCGCTAAAAAAACGACGCTATTCCTCCCGACGTAGTTTGCCAGGACATTACGATGTTTATTTAAGATAAATAGCTGATGCGAGTAATTTTCATTTTCACACTGATTTTGAGTATATTTATAATTTCAAGTGCGTAGAACGTAGAAAAACGTTGACTAGATTTCTTAAGGTGAGTTTTGCATATCAAGGGAAGTATGTAGACATACAGAGCCCTTTAAAGAATAATTCTTATCTAAAGTTCACATGCGTCGAATGTTGATTGAAACAACTAAGATAAATTTTAATACTATTGTCAATAGAATATTCATTTAATTTATACAGGAGGCTGTCAATATTATCTAACAATTAGATTATTTTATTTTTATTTTTTTGTATATATCTCAAACATTAGATTAACTAGAGGCATCTGGTTTCCATTAGATTACATCCCATAATCCCTAGCGTACTAATAAAAACAATTCTAGGTCAGTAGATTGACCCGTTTAATTTTTATTGACGGCACAATCGTAGTACGTCGTTTTTCATGTTTCCTAAATTATCGAGCCACTTGATTTTGCAAACTGGTACGCGTCTATTCTAAGCTAAAATTTTCTTTATGATACATAATTCAATAGAATAAGGTGCACTCTACGTAAGAAGTACATTTTATTGTAGGTTTTCTTTTAAGTATGAGTTTCAAATAATGCTTTTTGATCTCTATCGGAAATTTTCAACAACAAAGCAACAAAAGGCTTTTTTTTTCATATAATGTTTAACCAATTTAGTGTTCAATATAGCATTAGCAAGAGTATTACAAGTCGCACAATATATTCTAGTTTTGTTGATAATAAACTTTGGAAAATTGTGTTGACCGTCTCGTACGTATAGGCCAATCATAGATAGATCTTCTTGTTCGATCTCATTCATGCATTGAAGGACGTATAAAAATTTGTTTTAAGAGAATGGATTTGTAGGGAATCTTTATTTGTATAAAACTCTCATATTTGAAATCAAAGTCGATTACATCACTTAAGTTCTATACCTTTGTGATATTATAAATAGCAGGAGTGAAAAGTTTACCGTAGTCCCAGTAACAGACTGGATATATATCTTCACAAAATAAAGATATATCAAATGAAGCATAATATAGCGCATTGTTCTAAATTTCGCCCTTTATCTAGACAGACATGACGCACAAAAATTGACTGTGTATTTGATGAGATCTACGCTTGTTCTATTGCTGGAAATACGGTAAAATTTTCACTCCTGCTATTTATAATATAACAAAGGTATAGAACTTAAGTGATGTAATCGACTTTGATTTCAAATATGAGAATTTTGTACAAATAAAGATTTTCTACAAGTCCATTCTCCTAAAACATTTTTTTATACCTTCTTCAATGGGTAAAAGAGATCGAACAAGAAGATCAATCTATGATTGGCCTATACATACGAGACGGTCATCACAATTTTCCAAAATTGATTATCAATGAAAATAGAATATATTATGCGACTTGTAATACTATGACTAATACTATATTGAACAGTAAATTGGTTAAACATTATATGAAAAAAAAGTCTTTTGTTGCTTTGTTATTGAAAATTTTTGATATAAGCCAAAAAAAACATTATTTGAAATTCATACTCAAAAGAAAACCTATAATAAAATGTACTTCTTACGTAGAGTGCAGCTTATTCTATTGAATTATGTATGATAAAGAACTGTTCAGCTTAGAATAGACGCGTACCAGTTTGCAAAACCAAATGGCTGGATAATTTAGAGAACATGAAAAACGATATACTACGATTATATCGTCAATAAAAAATTAAATAGACCAATGAATTAACCTAGAATTGTTTTTACTAGTACACTAGGGACTATGGGGAGTAGTCTGATGAAAATCAGATCATTCTAGCTCATCTAGTTTTTGAGATATATACATAAAATAAAACACAATAGTCTATTTGTTGGACAATTTTGATGACCACTGCATGTTCGATTCTAATAAAAACGATGTTTATATTTTAAGTTTTACAATGTGTCTCATAAATATGTATTAATAGTTGTCATGAACAATCTGATCGTTTTATTCTGATGTTTTGGATAATCATTAGATTAAATCAGCTTCATTAAGATTATATATTTTTGAGTGAAATTTTTGACAAGTTTATTTATTTTCTATAAAACCAATAATTAAATAATATAGAATATATAGTTTTAAAAGTTCCTAATTAGACTTCTGTTATTAAATATCATGAAAATATGAAAACAAAAAAAATCTTTGACAAAATCAATAGATTAATATTAAAGAAATCGTAAAAGATTTATTCTATTTGTAAAACAACAAAAAGAAAATTCAGACCAGAGCTACTGAAGAATAAAAATCAAACATTATACTCTATTTGACCTTGTATTAATAAAATAGATAAAGTAACTTATAAGAGTATGCATCAATTTTCTTTTTAAATAGAAACTCTCATTGATTTAATAAGTTCTGTTTTTGATATTTAACTACAATCAATATTAATTCATTGTCCCTATATTGTATTCTGTTCCTTGATCAAAATAAATGCAACGTATTTTTGATTGTCTCAACTTTGTTTAAAAATAAAAATATCAAAAATATAAAGTCGAAAGAACACAATAGTACAAACGTTGAAAGTAAAAATACTGACTATTGAAGTAGACACTTCTGCATATTTTCTCATTCCGAAAATAAAAAAACCTGAACAGCTAAATTCAAATCAAATTTTTATTACTGAAAAAGAAAGAATGAAAGACAAGTAAAAAAATACTTGAAAATATTTTAATGTATCGATCTTAAATAATGTTGTTATTGTACAATCATAAATTTTTTTATTTTACTACAATAAAAGACAAATACTTGAAGAGATCAAATGCTGTAATAAAATAATTATTATATCGATTATACAACATGCTTACTCGATTTTATAATGCTATTGTTCATTTGTTTTTCTACTTCGATGAACTAGAAGATCATTGAAGTATAATATTCTGTACATGTTATTCTTCTATTTTCATAAAATTCTAAGTATTTGCATGATTTTGATAAATACGAGAATTTATCCGATTATAATAACTTGCAATTAGTGTATGGATGGGTGTGTCTTTTCTTTAGTCACACACCAGATAAATCGATATTGATCATGTAATAATGATATCTTTCGAAACAGTCTTTTAAAATTTTACTTTTTATTGTTATACAATTTTTGTTTGGACATTTTTTACTTTCGACTAAAGTTGAGTTCACTGTATTTTTATCTACAGTAATACTTATTCAAATATTTTACAAATCCTTCAGAGCAGTTTAAATTTCGACTACCAACTGGAAAAAAAACTGCATAATTTTGGTAGATATTTTTTAAACACTTATGCTTATCTTAACTTTCTTCATTCGAATGGATTGAATTAAAGATCATCTAGAAAAATACTTTTTGTCAATGTCTTTTTGATAAATTTACACAATGTATCATGCATGGTTTTTTCAATCTTACATTTAACAATCGATATGTATTACTCATTAACACAAAGAAAAGTCACTAACAGTTTAATATCGGATGGACAAATTATTAGCGACATACGTTCAATTGGGAATACTTTGAATCAAATACCATTGTAGCTGCTACTTATGAATTCTCTTCTTGAGAAAGATTTTACGATTCATAGCAACGTACTCATGATATTCAATAAGTCATCATCTTGAGCTCTAGATTGTAGTGAACCTATTATCATATCTATCGTTTTCACACTAGTACAAATTTCATTGCTTTTCATCAAATAGTATCAATCAATGATTGAGTTTCATGGATTTTAAAATGAATTATATCATTTGTATAGTAAACATACGTATATCAATACGTTTGAAAACTTAAAGATAAAAATAATTATATTTATAACAAAAGATGTTAATTAGAAGATTTTCATCGAGTTTATTATGTTTAAAAATTTCACATCATATAGGTATAGAATTTCTAATTATTTAACATAGAGACTGTATTTCTATCAATCAAATCGTTTCGAAGAGGATACATTGTTTTATTTTTCTTTTTACGTTATATAAGAAGTTGATTAATATGCTATTAATAAAATAATTTTATCTTCGAATGATATAATTATACTTTGAAACATTCACTTATTTTGCCAGGTCGATGTCGGCATAAATTTGGAAAACAACAAGGACGACGTAAAAGACCACAAGATTCACATGGTGAAAATTTTCGACGAACATTTTCAATCTCTTCATCACTATTATCATTTTGTAAATTAGTAAATTGATCATTTTCTTCTTCTTCTTCTTCTTCTTCTTCTATTTGACGACTTCCCATTCGAAATGATTCTTCATCATTGTTATTCATTGCTTCTGAGTAGATAACCAAAACAAAAGTAATGAATACTATACATAAAATCATGGAGTTTTTCATCCTTACGAATAGCAAAACTATCAACAAAATAATTCTTTTGCATCGCCTATGCATATATATATATATATGTGTGTGTGTGTATATGGCGTCACATTCATCTAGATTGCTTTCATTGAATTTTAATGATTGCCTTCAGGTACTTGAATATGGCAAACATATTCATGCAAAGACATATTATTTAACAAAAATAATTTGTCTACTCAAAAGATTTTATTTGAATAACAAGTGCTCTTACTATTAAAGTATAAAACAATATAACGATTATTATAAGACACGTAAATATAGAAAACTTAAGACTCATCTGCGCAACCATTCATAGTAATCGAACGATATTGATATTATATTGATTGATAAACATTTTGATCATGTTAGAACTAAAAATACTTTGAGTCGGTTTTCAATATCATTTTTCTTTTAGAACGAATTTATTAATATTGCCGTGTGCTAAAATACTGTAATGAAATATTTTGTACATATTAGTCACAATAATCAAGCAAATTTCTTGATCAAGAAATTCATAATAATTAATGTATCCATCAGATGCATAAACAATAAAAAACAACACACTGACATATATAAATTTAGTAGAAATCGATAAATTTTCTCAGAAGAGTAAAGATCGGACATATTCGATCTCAACTTTTCGTTAATGTTAAAGAATATTCTTAAATATACACAATTTGTTTATATTTATTCAAATTAGAAAATGTGCTCTTGATATATGATGAGATGTCTGAAATCATTAATAAGTTTTTTTGTCATTAGATTAAAACATAATTTTCTTTTAACAGGTTTGAATAAACGAATAGTTATTCTCAAATGAATGATCGATACTTTTTAAGCATTGCTCACAGTGTTGAAAATTTATCAATTCAGAACAAACTTTAATCAAAACAGATAGCTACAATATAATATCTTTCGAATATGTAAAACAAGAAAAACAAGAAATCATTATTACTAAAGAAGTTAAATATGCTTTTTATTGGTGTGATGTTTCAAAGGCAAATGTCGACCAACAAGCTTTCGTATACTGATACGCTTTCTATAGGGACGTTTGACACTATAGCCAAATGTGCTTTAGTTTTGTACACACATATATCACAGAGTATTATTACTCCGTCGAATTCTAGAAATCGTTTGGTAATAATTGCACGGAGAAATGAAAGCATGATGATCATTCTTTGCTTTACTCATTGCTTGTACTCGTCGCTTTAAAGTCCAGGAGTAAAAGCTTTTATGACATTTCAAATCGTTACTATAATAATCTGTCTTAATTTCACTATTTGGAATTGAGATGATTTTCAAACTGTTGAGAATCTTGTGTATTCGCACATTACTTAAGTGCTTCGGATAGCATTTTATAGATGGTAAATTCAATTTTCATCATATGTACTCATGATGATATTATTGACTGTCAAATTTTAGCTATATAAAACTATCCTAGAATAATTATCGAACGACAGACTCTACAAAACTAAAGTTCGATTACGATTGAAATCATGTGCTATGCAAATATATATATTCTGAAAAAGAGTCACTTTGCAAGAGAAACTCTAATTGATTTCATCACTTTCATTATTAGATGTATGTTAAATGTGATGGAAAAAAAATGATGTTTAAAGTAAATTATAAAAATCAACTTCTATATTCATTCTGATTTATCTAGTTTATTTGGAAAAGAATTAGAGTATTAAGATAAATGAATATCAAATAAATTTTTTAAAATAAAGGAACAGAATTAGATGAATTTTTGGCTTTCGTCCGATGAAATATAAGTTAAACATTCATCAAAATAAATGTATGTACAAGTTATTATTTTAAATAGAGCTCAAAATTCAACAAGAAAAATTTTTTGAATTCGTTTTTTTAGTCATAACATGTTCGTGTATAGATGAAATGAAAACATTTTCAAACTCTTCTATACCCATCTTGAAACTTTCTTGTATTTTATATTATTTCATACGAAAGCCTGTTTGATACACGATTGTATAAAATACAACATTAATCAATACGTATTAGTTTGATATTACTTCCATTCTATTAACAAACTATACGCTTGTTTTTTATCGCTCAGAAGTTCATATTTAAATCAATGATGTACTTTAAAGAAAAAAATCATTCATTTCTATTAGCCAGGTCAGTGATTTCGGTGCCCGAATCCATGAACTTTCGACAGATTTCTGCCAGAAAGATCTCGTTTTCGATTGGAAAAAGATAGGAAATTGGAAGCAGGAATCTGGTGGTCGGCTCTGTCCGCTAGCGACCGAAACTAAGAAAACCCAACCACTGAATTCCTGCTTAGAAGTTCTTACCATTTGTTCGAGTTGTCCGACTAGAAACAGCCCCTGTTCTTTTTTGCCTGGGTAGTAGTTCATCAAACTATTCGAGTAAACTATGATACCTTCGATCGTTCAAAAGCATCTTGATTTCGAACACGTTTTAGATTACTTTGCTTTCATCTTACATTGAATATATTGTCTAAATAAGATGGTTTATATACAGAACGCAATCAGAATTTGAACGTAATAGAAATAGATAGAATCAGCTCTAACCGAGTAACTCCATCTATCATTTGGAGTTTGAATCTAGAAGTCCAAAATAAAACTTTTAGTGTCATCCATAAGATAGAATAATTAAATCTGATATAGATTTCTTTTTGTTTTTGCTGATTTATATAAAATTGAAAGGTAAATTCTTTTTTGCGTGAAGAGATTCATTTATAATATCCAAGGAAAAAAAGAACAGATAGTTTCATTTATTAATATTTATTGATTAAAAATCAAGTCTTATCAATATATACTAATGATGAGAGATATCACTCTATAGAATATAATATGTTGCTTCTTTGTTTTAATCCTTGTCATATTCATGGTGAAATCTCATATCTTATACATCATCACTGCATAAGAAATATAACTGTGAAGTGCTAGAATGTCCCAATCACTTATTTATATAATTTCTTATTTGATTTTTATCGAGAATAAAAGTAGTTAATATTCATTTTGACTACTCAAATTATTTCAGCCAGCTTTTGAATCACAAGGTCTAAAGATTATTGTCTAGTTTTTTTTCTCAAAGCAAATATTTGCTTGTCATAAAATCTGTTTTTATTCATTGTTTTGTTTTATGCATCTATATGACTAGATATTGTAATCACATGATTTATGCATCAATGATATTTGATGTTTTCTATCACATTAAATCATACATGATTATTAGACCTTGATTTGTCTGAATATATCTACGATATATTTTTTAACCTTCATTATTAGAAAAAATATTCATTAAAATAAAAACATCGTATAATTTCTCACAAATTACAACATTGCTAACTGCTAGAATGAGATTTATTTTTCTTTAGTCAATAGACAAATAACAAGAAGCCACGTACTGTTCTAACAGATATGCAAAGATAAAAGCCTTAGTATCACACACACACACAGACAGACATACATATTATATTAAGAATTAAATAAAACAAATAAGCTATGCTATGTAAAAATAAAATAAGAAGAAATATTGCTAAGCAATGATCGCCTTTTGTCTTTCTCTTCTATTGTTCAAATTGAATCAAATCGATAAATAAAAATAATTGTAATTAACGGTAAGATCCATATAAATGCCATTGAGAATGTATGTTTCATAATTCCACCTAGAATAGAAAAACATTGTATAATTTATTTATATCAAAAACAAAAATAAACAAAGATTTAAATAACTAAAAGAAAAGAAGAATCGATTTTTGTTTTGTTTTTTGCCCCCTTTCTTTTTTGTTTCATGCATAATTCATTATAGATTCATACCACTCTCGATCAGTACATCATCATTACTAGTTGATTTTTGAATGAAGTTTATAGGCTCTTCTATATTGATGATTAGATTTATAAAATTATTTGAAAAAAAAAGAAAAATTCTAAAAAAAAAAAAAGTAAATAAAATTAACCTGATGTTTTAAATGGATAAAGTATTTGATTAACAATTGCTATTTGTTTTCCACTTAATGTATAAAGTAAATCAGTTGGTATACTTCTAATTTGTTCAATATTTAAATTTTGTAATTGATCATTTGTAAATGATTTAAACATTTCTTTTGGTAAAGTTGAAAATGCTTGTTTGGGAAAAAAATTAAATAATCTTGATGTTAATTTACCAAGATCAGTAAATTTTAAGCCAGCTTTAAAAGGAGAAACAATAATTAATTTTTTTTTTTCGTTTTTGTTCTAAATTTAAATTCTTACCAGCAATTGTACCCAATGAACCAAAAATATCTGGTCGTAAAAGATCACCTTCATATGCATTTTTAACAACATCATACATTATTGATGCATATTTCATATCTGCTCCTTTTGGACATTGAATATTTGACAAAATAGTCAGATAAGATCTAAATAATGAGAAGCAAAAAAGAAAAAGAATATTTTATTCAAAAATACATTAGTTGATTTACTTGACATCTTCTGGTGGTATACGACGAAGAAGTTGTTCATCAACAGTACATAAAATTTTTCCAGCATTTTCAATAATTGATGGTGTTAAACGTTGTTCTCTACCAAGAGCAAGTCGTGATAAAGATTTCAACTAGAAACATATATATATATATATATATATATGTATATAAGTTTGGATTAAATCAAAAAAAATCTACTTGATCTTTTGTCCAACCATCGAGATTACCAATTGATGAAAGAAAATTTCCATCACGAAAATGTTCATTTCGTAATTGTAATAATTCACTTGGAGTAAAACCAGGTAAAATTGAATTTAATCTATATAATTCTGGTTGAGTTAAAGATTGAATATGTCGCCCTTCATTTTGTAATGCCTTAAAATAGATGATTAATATTATGAAAACAATAAAAATACATTTTGAAAATAATTTTATTCAAACTCGAATATATTTTTCAGCAATTTGTTGTTGTTTTTCTGGTTCATAA